AAAAAGTCCCCAGCGGGAGCTTTTACAGTACCTTTTAGGGTATTGAGCCGAAAAATGTCAGTGTCTGGACGGGCGTAAATTAAATAAAATTTGGATTTAGTCAACCTCGTTCCCAGCCCTGGGAACGAGGTTAGGATTGGTTTCATTTGATAGAATTTAAGTTGATAAGGTTGATTGATTAAAAAAATCCTTGAATTAGAGGATCGAAATTACTCACACGAGAGCAGGCTCCAAGCTGACCACGCGCTTTGTCAGATGACTTTTACGAACACGCGCCAAGCGATCTTCTGACCTCAGTGGCGAGTGAGAAAACAAAAAAAACCAGTCCAGCATCTAAACATATCCATGAATAGACAACATGGCCAGTAACACAAGCCATTTGGTGATCAAATTGAGTCAGATTTCCAATAGAAAACAACTGATATTTGAAGTCGTAGCTCGCTCTGCCAATCATTTGAGTCCGCGGTGCTTGACTGTGAGTCCTTCATGAATAACTCATCAGTCTCAAGTTTTACAAGGTTGATGAGTCGTAAGATTTTAGCAGGCCCGAGGATTTCAGCCGCGGTACTTTGAAGGCCTCGAGTTCGAGTCGTGGTGTGGGAACTTCATTCTTTCTCTCCCGGGCTTCTAAAGCGTGGTTTGAGTTTTTAATTGGGCGCTGGAAAATAAAAATGTTTACGTCATAAAGTAATGTATGAATATAGGAAAACGAGACTGTATACAGTATAGAGAGTTGGAATAATTTACGGAAGNAATAACTCATCAGTCTCAAGTTTTACAAGGTTGATGAAGTCGTAAGATTTTAGCAGGCCCGAGGATTTCAGCCGCGGTACTTTGAAGGCCACGAGTTCGAATCGTGGTGTGGGAACTTCATTCTTTCTCTCCCGGGCTTCTAACGCGTGGTTTGAGTTTTTAATTGGGCGCTGGAAAATAAAAATGTTTACGTCATAAGGTAATGTACCAATGTAAGAAAACGAGACTGCCATAGAGAGTTGGAATAATTTACGGAAGAGAACACTGTGTGTGAAGCTTTCGCACATCATTTCTGGCAACGCTTCGATTAAAAGCTGTCAAAGCTATCGATGGATCGAATTATATTCTCATCCTTGTTGTATATCAGATCGTATTTAATATGGGAGCACTTGCTCGACTCCGAACGCGAAAGGTCAGTTCATCGCTTTGGCAGCCGTTTCGTTCACAATGGTTGTGCAAATCGCTCCTATCGCGAAATAAACGGAATGTTAGTTGTTTAGCCCCCAGGTCCACTATCCGGTTAGCACCCAACCAGAAGTCGATTAGCCCCCATTCACCCTGGTATTCACGCTTGGAGAACGAGAAATAGACAGTGTTCTCGTCTTCTGGTTGCGGGCTAAACGGTTAGTTGCTAATCGACTTGGGGGCTAAATTAAACTACCGGATACCACTGGTCAGCGGAATGTAACCGCAAAAAAATTTACGTCCCATCGACCGAGTGAATTATACTGCCGTGACTAACTCTAGCTACGCCATCATTCGTTAAAAATGATAGGCTTGGAAAAAGTCTAAAGGACTTCGCATTAACGGTGATTAGTGATTTTCAGCCCGCATTATCACCTATGAGATGGTGGATTCATTTCTTCTCATCCATTAACTTCCTGCTTATTACAGGTATTTCTGAATCCCTTTATTGTTGTCTAAAAGGTATGTCGATATACATCCCTTTGTTATATTTGTGTAAGACATCTTAATTAGCTCCAACCTCGTTTCCAGGGCCTCTCATCTTTCCACCCTTCCTTGCTCCGGGAGGGCGGCAAGATGGGAGACCCTGGAAACAAGGTTGATCGAATAAACCCTTGTAACAACTTACTATGAATAAAACTGAAGTGAATCAGGAGTTATAAGTGTCCTGATGCGACTTAGTTATACGGAAAATTAAAAGTTCTCAAAACTTTATCAATTATATAACAAGTATTGCAGAAAATGCCTTCTTGTCTTGCATAAATAATATAATTTCTGCGACTACTTTTCAGTAGAGCACCTATTAATGTTGAAGGGGTTGGAGAGGCAGGGCATTTGAACCTAGCTGACAAATCCTGTTCCCCTGCATTTGCGTTCCCTTCCATTTACAATAACACTGCTAAATTTTGAAACGTTTGTAAAATGAAAATCCCAGAATACAGTCAACTCTCTCTAAGATGGACACCATAGGGACCGGCCTCAGCTGTCCGTCTTAGAGAGGTGTCCGGCTTGTAGAGCGAAGTAACATGACCCCAGGAATTTTAAGATAATAATGCTGAACCTGTGCACAGTGAATACGCGTCTGTTTAAAGTTTGCTTTAAGTTATTTACTTGAACGAAACCTACAAACTGGAACAAAAACATACTTATAAAATTGAATCTCTTTTCATATTAGAATCAATAGTTAACGGGTTAAATAGAGTCCGAACAGTGAAGAGAGCTGTCAATTAAAGGTCTGGTGTTGAAAAGAGTCACGTACGTGGTAATTTAAGAATTTTTCTTCCCTAAATCGTAATTTGCGGTCACATTCAGCACCTCACAAGTGTCCGTTGACGATTTCAAAGTGTCCGTTGACCGTCTTATGGAAGTGTCCGTCTTATAGAGAGTTTGGTTATAGTAAAATGACTGAGAAACGGCTGGGACCAGCACCAGGTGTCCGTCTTATAGAGGTGTCCGTTAAGAGAGAGTTGACTGTACTTAAGCTTATTGTTGAAATATTTTCCTACCAAATATTAAGATGTTTTCTTTGTTACAATGGAGTCAAATTTTCCAATTTTATTCATATTGTTCCCAAAACAGTGGCACCCCTCTAAAGGGATTTTCTTAGCCATTTTGTAATGGCAAAAAAATGGCTTGGTTAGAAGACTGGAAAAGGCCGATACACTTAAATAGATTAACCCTGAGAAGGCTCAAAGTCAACAAAAGATGCCACCAGAATAAGTTACTCCCAATTAAAGATAGCTTTTCTTGCTTACAAGGGGTAGGGTAGAGAATGTTGCTTCATGCTCTTTGAACAAAAGAGGCCAGGGATATTGCAGTGCTTCACCTCTTGTATCTGTAGTTTTAAATAGTAACAGAGTAACCTAGACAGAGAAATAAAAACTAATATTATATAATTATAGCTGTACAGTTAAAGAAAGTTCTTTCCTCAAATTCACAATTACATCTAATTGATATAATTTCTGTAGTCTATATTAAAAATGTGTAACATACACATCTCTTTGTTCTAAACATTGTAATCTGGGGGCTTTTCTTGTAGTTGTCTCTTTGTAGTTTGATACAACACAAAAGCAATAACCGTGAGGTGGAAGAGAATTTGCCAGATGTTTCGAAGGCTTCGTAGCCAATAAATAACAAGCAGAAGCGTAACAAACAGTGATCTTGCTAATGGCATCCTCCATCGCACAGAAAAGAAAAGAAGATATAGCTGTGGAAAGGATAAGGAAAAAAACAAAATAATAATTAGAAATTGTAATAAGCATTAAATCCATAAAACAATTTATTTCAAAAAGTGTGTAAACTGCATGGAAAAGACAAAATGCAGTCGGGTCTGAAAAAAAGTCAAATTAAGTCAAATGAAAATCAAGTGAAAAGTACAAGCTAAGATGTCTTCTAACCACATGTGAATACAACTAAACCTGTACACTACTGGATTTGTTGCTTGTAATTCGGAGGTCAACACCTCCATTAAGCTATGTAAACAGCCAACTGTTCTGTCTCCTGCTAGCTGGGATCATGTATTTGACCATGTTGTGCTTTACTATTTGTAAAATCGTTTTTGTCTTTTAGAAGGGCAAGCCTACCTGACTGTTTGTACCTTGAAACACCTAAAATAGTTGTTTTAGATATGGCGCTCAGTTGGCCAGCATCACACTCCATTTATCAATAAAAAATTTTACACTGGTATTACCAAGACGCAATAATGAGTTTCCTAATCTAACATGCCTGACAAGCAATAGCATCACATTCATATGGTTATGACTCCTTCCTCTAAAATTTGGCTATTGTGCAGTTCAAGAAAATATCCATACTTCCTCCACAGAAGAGGATTGGGATTTCCTGGGGGGTTCTGGAAGACCAAAAAAATTTAAAGAAATGTAAGAAGTTTAACTAGAATTTCCAGAGGGGTGGGCAGGTGGGGAGGTGTTAAAAAAAATCCCTTCTGTAAGGGAGGTATGGATATTTTCTGGAACTATACTGTACATTGTCATTTTCCATGGACCGCAATATCTATGTTCTACCCATACACTATGACCATAGGTCAAATGCTTCTCTTTTTGACTCTTAAAAGATCAGACTACATGTACAAACCTGGCAACAATTTAGAACACCAGCAAGAAAAAATCCAGCAGCCGAAAACCAAGTATCATTGGTCTAGAAAAACAAATCAACAGAAGATATAGACAGTTGTTAAAATTGCTTTGCTATCTTTTTTGTCACTGAATTGTAAGTTTGATTTTCTTTCGTTTTTTTTTTTTTTCTAACTGCTCGCTCGAGCAATGTGCAGTTCGGTGGTCTCAGAGCAAGAAGGATATTCCGTGACTATGTACATGAAGTAATTACATTTTGTGGCTGCTTATATGAATGGATTTACGGAGTCCAATATGGCATACAACTGACGAAGCTAGAGTTTCAGCGAAGTACATTTCGTAGTGCCAGTCTTACAGTTTTTTAAACTTAAGACCTTTTTACAGTGTGTCGAAACAATATCCAGGACAAGATGTCTTTAATTCATACATGTATGCACGTATGTTTTTGACTGCTAATCATGGAATACTAAAAACCAAGTTATGTTCCTATCATAATTTCCTCACCTCCTCATCAATAACAATAATATTTAAAAATGGGAAACATCTGAGAAAGTTCAGTAGTCCACAAACACCTGCTAAAACACAGGCTGTGAGACTTTGCCATGTCAAGGGTTCAAGCTGTCTCATGGGACCTGAAAGAGATCCATAGAAATTTCTGTGTGTAAGTTAAGGTACATTGCTGTTCCCCATGGATTAGATGCCTGTGTATCACAGGTTCTCGTGAGAAATGAAAATTAATGAAAGAAAGTAGATTTCTGTCTTGCGAAGAAACTAGGTAAGGGGTGGTACACCATCATCAAAAGATACACTGTCCACGTTAAGTGTCTCACCCAAGAACATTTTGTACCGCAAGGGGACACTAGCCATGGGTTTGAGGCAGGCAGCCAGGAAGTTGCAAGCCAGGATGATAAGATTGAAAAGACTGGCTCATAATTACATTTTTTGTCAAATTTCATACCATAAACAGACTTAAATGACAACACAGGTAGAAATACAAGCATTCACCTCCTGTTTTATAAGTCTTGACATCAGCATTATTTTCTGGTCCAAGTTCAGTTTGTAAAATCTCAAATGGAGGATTGTTGTGTAAGTCTTCACTCATCTCGCTTAAATTAAGCCGCGATGTCAAAGTTCTTGTGTTGTTGTATCGTTGTTTAGTTTTCTGAATGAAGGAATCTATAAATTACATATGAAAGAAAATTAATCAATCATTTGACCATGAGTGATCAGCGTACAAGTAGATGTTATTTCTTCCTACATTTATATGATATTAATACACTTAAAATTGAAGCTCACTTGTAACCAACCTTGATCAGTATGGTCAAATTTTTTAGCTTGCACAAATTATCATTTTCATTTTAAATATGACTAAAATTAATGCAATTTAGGCTCAGTGAGTTAGATGCAAGACAATATTGCTCACCAGCAGTCTCCCACAGGGTTGGTGTGTAGGGTAGCCAGGGGTTTGGGCAGGGGCTCCTTGTAGTTCTCAGCTTGGCTTCAGATGCCAACTCATTCTGCATGTTTTTCACTGCCAGATTGTGTTCTTTGAGCCATTTTCCCAGCCCAGCTATTCCTCTTATCATGGTAAGTATGTAGCGAGTATTTTGTTTTCACTGTTTGTTTTCTTTGACGGAGCATGGTGGTTGCTCACTCCTTGGTATTACAGAACACTTCAAGAGCAAACAAGTTGCAGCCACCTGATGACTCAATCACAAAACCTGTAATTCTGCCATTTTTAACAAGTAATCACACTTTTCCTGATGCAATTTAGGCTTAAGATCACTTGTGTTCAAAACTTTCAAGTTCCAATATTTTGGGTACTTTACAAGTGGCATTGATAATAATTCTAAACTTTACCTGATCCCATGTAATTGTATGAAAAAGTAAATAATAAATTAACACAAGTACAAATGCTTACCAAACTCTATAAATGAGTAAGGTCTCCTTGCTTTTTGGACATCATGACTCTGAAATGTTATTGTGAACTCACGCTGAAGTTCCTCAAGGAAACAGAAGACTAAAACAGCTGGATATGTTCCTTCACAAACCGCCAAGAAGCAAACCCCAACAGCCTTTACAAAGCTGAAATGGAAGACAAATTAAAAAAAGAAATGAAGTGAGAGACGAATGAAAACAATGGCAGTTCTAGAAAATATCCATATGCGGTACTCTTCCCACAGAATGGATTGGAATTCCCTGGGGAGTAGGGGGTCTTAGAAGAATCCCTTCAGTGGGAGGGGTATGGATATTTTCTGGATCTACACAATATATATTGTTTATAACAGATAAGATGATCAAAGAAAGTGAAGAATGATCATCGCAGTAAATTTTCCAATTTAAGCAATTGGAAGAAGAAGCCTGAAAAAAATCAGGGCTTCAACGGGATTCGAACCCGTGACCTCCGCGATACCGGTGCGATGCTCATAGGCTTCATAGCTCAGTTGGTAGAGCATCGCACCGGTATCGNATTTACTGTGATGATCATTCTTCACTTTCATCTACAACCGCAGTTCATATATGAATTATTTCATATAAACGTCAGATAAGATGATCAGTTGCTTGTTAAAGCATTTAGCAAGAAAGAATACCAGTAACGTTAATCGACATTTGATGTAAAATGTAATGTAGATGTGAAATGCCTGGAATGCATTATATCCACTTCACAGTATACATTGCACTATTGGAAGACTGTCAAATTTACAAAATGCTGTAGGGTTGAAAAATGGCAATACAACTTTGTGAGACAGCAAGACACATATCCTGTTTTGCAATCTTAAGACTTTCTTATCCTCAGCTGGTAAAAGAATTCGAGACTCTGGACAGTGTCACGAAAAATCACACTGACAGGACCTGCTTAATTAAATACTACATTCGTGTCGCATTTTTTGAAGGAGCAGTTCCTTACCCTACAAATTAAAAGACTAAAAACATATTTAATTACCATTCCATGATGATGAATCTTCACGATGTGAGATTTCATCATTGAAACAAAATACATGTACCTTTATTTCACAGTTTGTTTGAATGGCAATATGAGTATAAACCAAAACCAACATATAAGACTTCACATGCAAATGGAACATCAAAGATCAAAAGAACAGAGAAAGATTACTGCACGTGCAGTGCTTGATCTTCAAACAATCTATTACTGGACACATGTACACTTTTTCCTTACTAATCCTGACGTGAAATATTTAAGTCCTTCTTCGAACCAATAAAATTTACTCACTAGATTTTGTGATTTCCACATTGCATGGTGCATCTAGCTGGGTACTGATTAACTTTTCGTGCCAAAGTTTTGGCGAATCTCTTGCTCTCCTTCAATTCAAAGTGCATATCCAAATCCGTAGACGCTGTGAGCGGCATTCCATCGGAAATCCGTGTAATCATCGCAAACACGACCATCGTGGATCAGCAAACTGAATTTTCAAGCTTTAAGCTACACAGGCATACACAATTCAGTCGTCTTTACGCCGTTACCGAACAAAACATCGCACTCTCTTTACGTAGCCGAAGCAGTCTTTGTTGTGCGGCTATTGCAGCCATATTGGATTTCATACTGAGCCCGAGATAAGCTTAGTGGTTTTCTCTTTTAGGACGTGCGCACTGTCGAGATTTACGTTCAACATGGCGACGATGGCAACCAACATGGTCGATGTCTCTACTGCTGAAAATACAGTTGTTACAGGGAATGCAAACCTAGATGCAGGAGCCCAGGTTGTGAGGGAAGAGAAAGAGAAGCAAGATCAATTGTACGCTGACTTCCCAAGCGACGCACTTTCTGTGTCGAGTCAGAATCAGCCGGCAGAAACTTCAGGAACGGGTGCTTACACAAATGCTAATCAGACAAAGAGAGTTGATCCGCGTCAAGACTGGATTAATACTGACAAGACAAAACCTTACTATTGCAAACTGTGCGACTACAATATGGACTGTATGGAGGTTGGTGCATTTTTCAATTCCAAAATTGAAATAAAACTGAGGCAACCTTTGTGCTCTGGTATTCAATGCAGAATTTATTTATTTATTTATTTATTTATTTGTTTATTTATTAAATGCATTCTGAAATCACTGGTTATCCTTGCAGTCTGATTGGCTCTCATTGGTACGATTTATTCACGAATCGCACTATTTTTTGCACTAAATTGCATCTTTTTCTCACTCAATGAAAATGGGACAGTAGAACAAAACAACCAATCAGATTTCAAGATAAGTTTAAAGTAATCAATAAAATTTTAGGAAAATGAAAGGCAAAAAGCCATTGTGTGGAGAATTTTGCAACTACTATTGCCAAAACTTTGTTNCACTCACTCACTCACCCATTGACCCGTCCATAACATACCCGACGCGCCGACTAAGAGGTATTTTTTTTACAAAAAAATAACTCAATAAACTGCTACAAAAATGCACGGATCTGCGAACACTAGCAAAGATGACCCCAGACTACTGCAAAAAGAAAACTTAAACAAACTGCAAAAAGGCAAGCGCGACCCTCACAAGTGTTGTTTAAGACGGACTCTGCAGACTTTAGACTGTCCAAAACACCTTGAACTCTCCAGTGATATGGATCATATAATTTTCTTTATTAAATCCATTTTGAAATCACTGGTTATCCTTGCAATCTGATTGGCTATCAGTGGTGCGATTTATTCACGAATCGCACTGTTTTTTGCTGTAAATCACATCTTTTTCTCAGCCAATATTAATGAGAATGGGACAGTAAAACAAAACAATCAATCAGATTTCAAGATTAGTTGAAATTAATCAAGGATATTTCAGGAAAATGAAAGGCAAAAAGCCATTGTGTGGAGAATTTTGCAACTACTATTGCCAAAACTTTGTTGTTATTGTAGTTTTTTCCAAAAACATTTGGCGAATTTATTTAATTACAGTTTCTGAATGACGATTATGAGCTCCTTCTGGCTGAAGACCTACTTCAATGGAAGTTTCCAACTTTCAGGGTCCATTTTGACGAATATTTTGGCGATTTTTCTTCAACATCTGCTCAAGATCNGGCTGAACATCTACTTTAATGGAAGTTTCCAACTTTCAGGGTCCATTTTGACGAATATTTTGGCGATTTTTCTTCAACATCTGCTCAAGATCCGTATGATACCGAGTCCAGTAAATCATAAACAAACGAAAACCACACAACAACAAATTCAGAGCCATCTCAAGTAGGTAGATGTTTCCAGATTACCGGTAGTTTCAAACGAAGCAACAAAAGAGCTCAACTCTGTCGCTGTGAATAAACATAGTCAAAATACGCCACACTGCACAAAATAGTGAATGAACGAACGTCTTACGAAGCCGGTGCCAGTCCCGCTATCTTGGAAATATCTTAAAACAAATGGCGCCGCAAGAACTTGACATGGCCCTGACTATTGGGTCCTACGCCGAGATCACAAAAAGAAACGGAGATGATAACGAGCTGGACTCCCTCAAAATCATGCCATTGAACGGTATCTAAAAGAAATCAAAGGCTCCTTCGAGCTACCTCATGGTATGTGGTAATTATTCTTTGAAGTGCTCTCCTTTGCCTCTTTTGGAACTAAAATG